GGTGGTGTCTCCCTCTCAAAGAAATATCCATCTAAACATATTTTCTTCCTCAAATATATCTATTAGGTGATTTGAACATCCATCATTCATACAGTAAACATTTGGATACAGAGGATTGGATATAAGATTTAGAGAAGGCAGTTCTTTATAGGAAAAACCAGTTTTAGTTAGTTTTTCTGTTAAGTTGAGTCCGTACAATTCCTTGTTTGGATAGAAAAATAAGAAAACAAGATTATGCAGTTCAATAACACAGATGGGGCTTCGTCTAGCTCTTGTATCATCGCTGGCACACCTTTTCTACATGGCTACGCCGACATTGGCGCCGCAGACCAGGCTACTCGCACTAGCATGCGGGATGCCGCCATCTTGTTTTCTTGCATGAAAATCTTCTGATTTATTCATAAAACATCATGGCGATACAAAGAACACAAGAAGTAGTAGAGATTACATCCATGTTTGTAGGCCACCTAGTGGCAATTATAAACACTGGAGCGAGCCGAAGGCGCGCCACGATCATCGTTCGGCCTTCGTTGAAGCCAAACAAACATTGTTGTAGTAGACAGTCAAAAGTCATCATGCTAAGACTTCAAAGAACCAATGTAACAAAACAGCTACCATCGTCGATGAAGAGAAACATAGATTGAAAGGACCAGCATGCAGACACATGAACGCGGATGAATAAAGACTGGTTCCAAACAGATCCATCGAAGATAAAAACACAGACTGAACCCCACAAAGATCAACCGGGGACACATCTCCACACGCCCTTCGAAGATGCTAGACGCACAGTCGGGACAGGAGAAGGGGCTTGCACACGAACATGTCATTGTATACACTCGACACCGACGGTGATGCACTACGGCTAACGTCGAAGGAGACCCAACCGAAAATGTGGTGCGCAAGCTATCCGGCGGGCGCATATGTAGACCCGAAAGCTGGGAGGGACCCCGTCAAGGCGTGCGACGACTATGTGCTGCCCTAGACCGACCTGGTCGCTCTCAGGGCCTCATGGCTCGCTGCCCTGCAACAAGAAGAACAATAAAGAACGAGAAGAAGAAGAAGAAGAAGAAGAACTAGGGTAAAGCAAAAAAGGGAAGATAAAATGTGGTACATGTGTTTGTCGAGTGTGTGTTGTTCAATCGGCCGTCACCTCTCATGTATTTATGAGCCGACTGAACTTCTCGTACAAGAAAAGGACTCCAAATCCTGTCCAAATCCTCCCAAAATTAATCAAACCCGGAATTAGGTAGGTATGAAATAGCAGTTCGGTTTTGGGGACCCATAGACCACATGCAATCTCGGATGGAGATGCGCCCAAAAGCAAATTTATCCATTCCGGTGAGAAGAACAACTTTCATGTTGAACGTCTTTTGGTTCGAGATAATCTTAAGGGTATTTTTGCTTGTTTTCCAATTTCTGCAGTAGAGAAAAACGTGAGTTATTGCCCGGATGTCCGGACTCCAAGTCGGGCGTTTGCCCTGGTTGTCTGGGTTCCATCCTGGATGGTTCGCCTTCAATTTTGAACCTTCTGTTGTCTGCACGTATGGGTCTTTTGTCCAACCTTTGGACGGATGATTCGGTTTCCAACCTGGACAATCCGGACATCCACTGTAGTTGGGCGTGGGTTTGGATGCAACTTTTGCATACAACCTCAGAGTGAGATAATTCAAATATCAAAACTAATCGCCTCGACGAGACGAAGATATTTCATGTGGAACACCTTTTCATCTGAGACCGTCTTGAGGCGTAATCGGCCAAACAGTATTCCGGATGCCAAATCTAAGCACTCCAAGCACATCTTCCACCCCTGAGATGAGATCGGATGATGATGACCCAGATATCAAAGTTGTTCATTTTAACCATATGGAGATTCTTCATATTTGGTACATTTTATTTGAAGGCATTTTGATTACGCTTTATGCCGTGCCAAAAACTGATATCAAGAAAGGACAACACAACCATGCCATCATCATCCGAACCTATACCAGCACTGGCGCATGTGCACTGAAACGCCCTGCCGTTTGGTCAGGCGATGGCCATCAACCATATAGGTTTTCCGTAGTTATTCTGGAATCATGGTTCCACTTCCACCTATACACTTGAAACTGAACCATTCCCTTACAATTAATCTATACCTTTCTTTTTACTAATATACATGAATTTTGATTAAAAATATAAATAAAATCTAAATATGATATTATTTTATCTGGTAAAATATTTTTTAAATAGTATTTAGGATGCAACCTTAATCAATAGCGCATGATTCATTTTTTTCATACGGGTGCCAAACCAGTGTGGACATGAACACCTCAACAAAACCAGATTGAAGACAAAACAAGCCATCTATAACCAAGTATGCGCGCCTCATCAAAACCTTGCAGGAAAAAAAGCAAAGTTCTCATCTTATGCAGAGAGAGACGCTTTAAGATTGACCACATTCAAACGCGTTGTGATTGTCAACAGAGATGAGATACCATGTGTTGAAATAAAGAACCTGAACCTACCTATGGGGGTTTGAGTCATGATTATAGGGTTAGGGGCCTGTGGAATTTCTCTCTTGGTGCAACGCATGATCTCTTTTGCTAGTACTCCCTCCGTTCCAAATTACTCGTCGTGGTTTTAGTTCAAATTACTCGTCGTGGAACTAAAACCACAACGAGTACAAATTTGAACTAAAACCACGACGAGTAATTTGGAAGATGGAGTAACTGTTAACAGAAGATGAAGCTACAGCGGTGTACAATTAACTAATAATAAACTTAATAACAACAACTGAGGGACCTATAGGCTAACATGTCCAGCATGCTCTCTCTATGGGGAGCATGGCGATTCACTCCGATGGACGGCCAGCATGACTCAAGACACCCGCCTCCTTGTGCTGCGCCTTACTGAGCTTGAATCAACCAGCCTTCTCACAGACGAGGGCTGGGGAGTGGACAGCCCCACTGATTCTGGGATGTCAAGGTCATCATTTGCCGGCAGGCCCGACATATCGTTATGCTTCTGGAACAAGTCGTGCAGCGGCTCGACTTTGATCCTCACTTTCTCCACCTGAAACACAATTTCAACTTCAACTCCTTGCATAAATGTGTTCCATGTTTTTTTCGGTGACAAAAGAGTCTAATAAAATTGTCCAGACTTCCATATAACAAGACAATGGATCAACTTCAATCAAAGCTGTGGTACCATACCAGCTCCTGGTGATAAGCGCGAGAACGAGCTTCCGCCAGCCTTCTCTGCAGATCGATCTCTTTCTTACTTCCATATTCTGAATTCTCCATTTCATTTTCCTTTTCTTCCAGTTCTCGATATAACTCTGAAAATAAGATATCAGTTGCCATCAACATCCAGCGATTCGACAAATTGACAGTCACAACAAGAATGCATACCAAGAGATTAAACAACCAGCCTACGGAAGGAAATGAAATTTTCAATCGCCTTGTGAAGAAATCAATATAACCTTGAGGACATACCTGTAAATACCGACAAGATCCAGATTTGTGTTGGGATGTCATAAAGTGTCTTAGCTAACGTCAACGATGACTTCAAGATCTCTCTGGCTTGTCCAGTGTCGTGTAACTGAAGTGCTAATGTACCTAATATTGTTAAATACTGAGAAACCAATTGGATGTTACCCAACTGTTGGTGCGCTATTCTCAAACCACTTGCAAGGCGAACCCTGCATCAGGTAGAAACATTTCATATTAACAACATAGAAATTGACTATCTGCAAACTTGCCGAGAGTTCACTCATCATAAAAGAGGAAATGAAATGTGGCAGACACCCGTGGGAAACAAATAATGCAGAACATTAGCTACATGGTGGTATAACTTCTGTTTCTAAGTGACCATATGTTTAATGCATCGAGATCATGTGGGCTTTTAAAAAATTGAAAACAATTATATATCCAGTCACGACAGAGGGGATCTCCAATTTTGCCATTCCAATTCCAATGAACTTTAAAGTTCAAGAGGACAAATATGGAACCCTGTAAAAATATAAATATGGAATCCTAGAGGAGAAATACAAATATGAAACCCTAGAAGAAAAATCTTTTTTTATCCGGGAGTAGTGGGGAAAAAAATCATATACCCTTCCCTCCCTCTTAAATGACAGATGCGAAATAAATAAAAAATGTTAAGCAACTCTTCTTTACGTTTACGCTTTATATTCATCATTTCTATACATCACATCTATTAAAACATTTGAATTTCGTTTTTACTCATCCTAAATGTAAACTATAGTGATGCACAATACATTCATTACACTGCAGTCATTATACTAATTTTCACTACTTAGTACTATATCATATCTCACCGTGCATCTTGTGGATTATGCTGCCTCATAAGTAGAAGTCCGTAAACAAAAATGATACAGGTCTTCTCTCGTACCCCAACAAATGAGTCCATGGTTCTGTAAGCAGGACCAATCAATTCTAGCGCCTAAACAGCCAAAAAGGTGAGGCAACATTTAGTTGTATTAGCTGGCTTGATACAGAAAAAGACAGGTATGTAGGAGTGATATAAAATCCTACTTTACCTCTGAAGATGATTCCGCGTCACCCTTACAAATGTAGGAGACTGCCGCATAAACTTGGCACATAGATTGCATTGATTTGTTCTCTGTCAGCTGAAAAAAATGTACTTCTTTAATTAGAAAAGGGCTGGATAGGTTGCAATAGAACATAAGAACAATTGGCCTAATATATAAAAATCTACATTCCTTGATACATGTTTTTACTTCAGCGGACTTGGGACGCATAGAATATTGACTAAAAGATGGCTAGCTATATTATAATAGGACTGGTGGTGCCTCAGAAGGACACCTTTCGATATTTGGGGTCAATGTTGCAGAAGGATGGGGATATCGATGAAGATGTGAACCATCGAATTAAAGCCGGATGGTTGAAGTGGCGCCAAGCTTCTGGCATTCTCTGCGATAAGGGAGTGCCACAAAAGCTAAAAGGCAAGTTCTATAGGACGGCGGTTTGACCCGCAATGTTGTATGGCGCTGAGTGTTGGCCGACTAAAAGGCGACATGTGCAACAGTTAGGTGTGGCGGAGATGCGCATGCTGAGATGGATGTGTGGCCACACAAGGAAGGATCGAGTCCAAAATGATGATATACGAGATAAGAGTTGAGGTAACTCTGATTGAAGAGAAGCTGGTCCAACATCGTCTGAGATGGTTTGGGCATATTCAGCGCACGCCTCCAGAAGCTCCAGTGCATGATAATGTCAAAAGAGGCTAAGGTAGACCGAACTTGACATGGGAGGAGTCCATAAAGAGAGATCTGAAGTACTGGAGTATCACCAAAGAACTCGCCATGGACAGGGGTGCGTGGAAGCTTGCTATCCATGTGCCAGAACCATGAGTTGGTTGCGAGATCTTATGGGTTTCACCTCTAGCCTACCCCAACTTGTTTGGGACTAAAGGCTTTGTTGTTGTTGTTGTTGTTGTTGTTGTTGTACTGGAAACCTGATTGTAGATCACATTGTACACGTAACCAATGACCGGATGTTGTTAGCTTTTTACATCATTAATCACATGAAGCACAGTTGGAGGTGCAGCGTGCAGAATCCCCACAGAATATTAATGTGTTTGGTAGCATACAAGAGGAGACTAGGAAATGCATGGCAGAGAGTATGCAAAGAAACATACTGTGGAGCATTGTTCCAAATATCGGCCAGTTAATCAGCATCTCGGTCAGTTAATCGCTACTCGGTGGGACAATAGCCCTTACTGGAAAATTCGCCTATTTATCCCCACTCAGCACCCAACCGATATGGTACCAGATACCGATATCCTGAACATTGGCATATCAAGAGGAAAAAAATACCTTCAATGCTTCAAGGAAGTGGAAAGCAGCCTCGTCAAAGCAGCCAACAGAATGTGCATACTGTCCCCTTAGCATTTCAATTGTGCTCTCACAACCTTGGAGAATCGTTGGGAAACGAGTAAACCAATTTTTCATCTGTGCTAAAGCCTACAGGAACAATGACGAATTGATAATAAAGGGTTAGCTGAATAACCATAGGATATATAGATCTGATGTTTGGAAAGAAATGTATCTGGCACAATTACTGGACCTATTATACCAGACGAGATGTGCTTATATCAAACCCAATAATAAATATATAATAGCTCAACATATTGCGAGACATATTAGTTTCAGTAAACAGATTGGCAGGGATGCCCTTGAAAAAAATGGACAAGTATATTTGAAAAGCATATACATAGACGAATAACGAAGAACGGTTGCAAACTTGCAACCTTGAGCAGTCATCCTATGTATTAGTAAAAAATATGGATATGCTGTTCTATGTACCTCTTGAGCTTCAACAAATTCTGATCTCGTGAGTTCTACAGCCACATTGTTTTCGAGAAACTGAAGTAAAAGCATCAAGTACAACCCGGCCGTCCATATAGTTGAGTGTTCCAAATCTCCCTCTGAATATATAATGACAAAAAATTAAATGAGGTTAAGGTAACAGAAGTACAATACTACAGTAAAATGATAATTTCTTCTGCAGTTAATGAAGATTTTTTTTCTGCAACAAACAACAACAACAACAAAGCCTTTAGTCCCAAACAAGTTGGGGTAGGCTCATGGATTTTGAGTCGCTTGACTAGTCACGACTAGTCGACGAGTCGTAGTTGCAGGGCCGACTTAGCCTCTCGACTCGACTCCTGGGATGAGTCGAGCGACTCGCGCGACTAGTCTCGACTAGTCACGACTAGTCGCGGTTTTTGGGTCGAACGACTCGAGGCAGCGCTGGATCTGGAGTACTCTCCCGCCGCCGTGCTGCTGATGATGCTGTTGTGCTGCCTCGCTGCTGCTGCTGCTGAAGCTGAAGCGGCAAGAGGAGCGGGCTGGGAGGAGGAGCGGTGGCAAGAGAGCTGCTGCGGGGGAGTTGAGAGATCCATCGCTGGGAGGAGTGGTGGACTGATGGCAAGAGAGTGGCAGCAGAATGTGTGGCGGCTGTGGTGAGGGAGGAGTGTGGATTGTGGATTAGGTCACAGGAGGAGTATATAGCTACTAGATGGGCTTTTGGGCCACAGGGAAGTGCATAACTAGTGGCCCATCTCTCAGTTGGCCCTGGTTACTGCTGCTGGTGGTGTGCTCCTCCCCTCCTCCCCTGACTGCCTGCTGCTTAACTCACGTCGACTCATCGCCATGTCGACTCGTCGACCGTGAGTCTAGACTAGTCACGACTAGTCTAGAGTCGCCCCTCCCGAGCGACCCGTCGACTCATCGACTCGAAAACATTGGGTAGGCTAGAGGTGAAACCCATAAGATGTCGCAACCAACTCATGGCTCTGGCACATGGATAGCAAGCTTCCACGCACCCCGCTCCATAGCTAGCTCTTTGGTGATATCCAATCCTTCAGGTCTCTCTTAAGGGACTCCACCCATGTCAAATTCGGTCTACCCCGCCCTCTCTTGACATTCTCCGCACGCGTTAGCCGTCCGCTATGCACTGGAGCTTCTGGAGGCCTGCGCTGAATATGCCCAAACCAACTCAGACGATGTTGGACAAGCTTCTCTTCAAATGGTGCTACCCCAACTCTATCTCGTATATCAACATTCCGGACTCGATCCTTCCTCGTGTGGCCACACATCCATCTCAACATACGCATCTCCGCCACACCTAACTGTTGAACATGTCGCATTTTAGTCGGCCAACACTCAGCACCATACAACATTGCGGGTCGAACCGTCGTCCTGTAGAACTTGCCTTTTAGCTTTCGTGGCACCCTCTTGTCACAGAGAATGCCAGAAGCTTGGCCACTTCATCCATCCGGCTTTGATTCAATGGTTCACATTTTCATCAATAACCCCATCCCCCTGCAGCATTGACCCAAATATCAAAAGTTGTCCTTCCGAGGTACCACCTGGCCATCAAGGCTAACCTCCTCACACCTAGTAGTACTGAAACCACACATCATGTACTCGGTTTTAGTTCTACTAAGCCTAAACCCTTCCGATTCCAAGGTTTGTCTCCATAACTCTAACTTCCTATTTACCCCGTCCGACTATCATCAACTAGCACCACATCATCCGCAAAGAGCATACACCATGGGATATCTCCTTGTATATCCCTTGTGACCTCATCCATCACCAATGCAAAAAGATAAGGGCTCAAAGCTGACCCCTGATGCAGTCCTATCTTAATCGGGAAGTCATCAATGTCGACATCACTTGTTCGAACACTTGTCACAACATTATCCTACATGTCCTTGATGAGGGTAATGTACTTTGCTGGGACTTTGTGTTTCTCCAAGGCCAACCACATGACATTCCGCGGTATCTTATCATAGGCCTTCTCCAAGTCAATGGACACCATATGCAAGTCCTTCTTTTGCTCCCTATATCTCTCCATAAGTTGTCGTACCAAGAAAATGGCTTCCATGGTCGACCTCCCAGGCATGAAACCAAACTGATTTTTGGTCACGCTTGTCATTCTTCTTAAGCGGTTGCTCAATGACTCTCTCCCATAGCTTCATTGTATGGCTCATCAGCTTAATTCCCCGGTAATTAGTACAACTCTGAACATCCCCCTTGTTCTTGAAGATTTGGTACTAATATACTCCGTCTCCATTCTTCTGACATTTTGTTTGCCCGAAAAATGAGGTTGAAAAGCTTGGTCAGCCATACCATCGCTATGTCCCCGAGACCTTTCCACACCTCAATGGGGATACAATCAGGGCCCATCGCCTTGCCTCCTTTCATCCTTTTTAAAGCCTCCTTGACCTCAGACTCCTGGATTCGCCGCACAAAACGCATGCTGGTCTCATCAAAGGAGTTGTCCAGTTCAATGGTAGAACTCTCATTCTCCCCATTGAACAGCTTGTCGAAGTACTCCCACCATCTATGCTTAATCTCCTCGTCCTTCACCAAGAGTTAGCCTGCTCCGTCCTTGATGCATTTGACTTGGCCAATATCCCTCGTCTTCCTCTCTCGGATCTTGGCCATCTTATAGATGTCCCTTTCGCCTTCCTTCGTGCCTAACCATTGGTAGAGGTCCTCGTATGCCCGACCCCTTGCTTCACTAACAGCTCGCTTTGCGGCCTTCTTCCTCATCTTGTACTTCTCTATGTTGTCTTGTCTGCACTCCTATCCAGGTATAGGCGTCTGAAGCAATCTTTCTTCTCTTTAATCGCCTTCTGGACATCATCATTCCACCACCAGGTATCCTTATCTTCACTTCCCCTGGACACTCCAAACTCCTCCAAGGGCACCTTACGAATGCAAGTCGCCATCTTCATCCACACATTGTCTGCATCCCCCCGCCCCTTCCTCCCAAGGGCCCTCCTTAATGACCCTCTCTCTCCTTGAACACCTGAGCTACCTCCCCCTTGAGCTTCCACCACTCCGTTCTAGCGACTTTGGCACGCTTATCCCGCTGGACACGAATCCAAAAGCGGAAGTCAGCAACCACCAGCTTATGCTGGGGTACAACACTTTTTTTTCTGCGACGCACAAAATATTTACGAGAAAGTTCTTTATATACGACAGAACAATTCCCCCGGTCCCTGATGTACCACTGAACAATGACATACATGCCCCTTATTTGACATCTCCATTCAAGCAGGCGAGCATGGTGGAACATGATAATCGATGGTCCTCGATGAATAGACTACATGGCAATGGATCTCGCGATGTGTGCTACCAGTTTCCATAGAAACTCAAAAGAAACAGTTGGGTGGTTGTGCAGGATTGACAGGCCACAACAAGAAATAGTCCAAACCATAATAATAAACAGTCCAGTGGTGGATATGAGGGCTTGAGCCATATGAAGGGCCACTAACATCACTACTGTGATCGCTCTGCTGAGGGGATCCCATTTAATTTAAGTAAATGCTGGCACAAGATAAAAGGTGTGGTGAAAAATGCACAATGTTGGCATTTTAGGTTCAGGGGAAGGGCAGGCTTAGTTGAGGAGCCGAACATCAGCGAGGCTGCATGGGAGGAGTACTTGGTCAAACTCACAGTAGGGCATGATTGAAGAAGACACGTTAAAGTCAACGGCGGTGGTTGTGCGGGATTGGCAGGCCACAACAAGAAATAGTCCAAACCATAATAATAAACAGTCCAGTGGTGGATATGAGGGCTTGGGCAATATGAAGGGCCACTAACATCACTACTGTGATCGCTCCGCTGAGGGGATCCCATTTAATTTAAGTAAATGCTGGCACAAGATAAAAGGTGTGGTGAAAAATGCAGAGTGTTGGCATTTTAGGTTTAGGGGAAGGACAGGCTTAGTTGAGGAGCCGAACATCAGCGAGGCTGCATGGGAGGAGTACTTGGTCAAACTCATAGTAGGGCATGATTGAAGAAGACACGTTAAAGTCAACGGCGGGGATGGTGAAGAGCAAAGAATGGCACAGTTGTCATGACACTTCACCATGTGCACACCATGGCAAGCTCCAGCTTGCCCCTTCTTGATGACCGGCGGGCAGTTGTAGCTAGGGCAGCACCTAGTGCCGGCAAAGAAGTTGGAGGCAAAATTGTCTGAAAAGATTACTCATCTAGGCCCTTAGCGCCGCCCATGGCCATCAAATTGGGTGGTCTTGGTGCAAACAAGCATAAGGTTATGATGTGGTGCAGATTTGGTGCTTCAATGGGAGCCCAGCGCTGAGAGCAACGGTACAAGGGTGGAAAAAGAAGATGAGGATAAAGAGAGGTATCACGGAAAAATATAACATGAGAAATTTAATGGAGTAGCAATGGAAGAAACGGGTAAGGTTTTGCTACAGTTGTTGCATATAAGGGAGAGATCATTGTTCAGAGCAGATCAGGGAAGTATTCATTGACATATAGATATTCCGAAGATTGAATTCATTAAAGCAGCCCAGCGAGTTAGAGAAATGTCTGGTATGAAGTAGTTCACACCAAATTCAAAATTAATGGCCCATGACTTGTATGGATGATTTAGTTGGCAGGGGCAAAGATTGACAAGCTAGGAGCTACAAATTCCGTTTTCTTAAAAGAAAAGAAAAAAGGAAGAAAGGACAAAAAAAAGAAGAACATATGACCACATGAGAAAGGGTTAAACATATCACAATTGATTTAGTCTGCATAGGATTGCCACATTGGAACTCCAGCAGGATAAGGTATCATGCATATCCAGCACATAAGACAACAAGAACCGTGACAACTCACAGTATCAGCTCAACTTAAGATTGTTTCTGAAAGGCGTGATTTTTAGAATGACCGTCACGATTTGGTAAAAGTTACGTAGTAGATCAAAGATGAGGCAGATAAATGGGAAGAAGCAAGGGCTGGGAGTTTGTTTTTTGAGCCACTGTAGGAGCAGCCTCCTAGGCTTAGTGTTCTTTTCGGGATTGACATTTGACTTCCATTATCATGTCTCGCCATTTTGGTGCAGATGTTCTTGCATCTAAACTGCTTTTCCAGCTTCATGGAAAGATATGAAAGGCTCTTGCATATTCTCTAGAAAAATTTGAGCTTATGTTGCTTAACCAAACAAAGGAAAAAGTGTGTGGACTGTGGAACTACATAGTAACCAGGGTCATGCATTAAGTGTCAGCTCTAAAATATGGTTGTACACAATAAAATTTGTAAAGAGTTGTCATAGAAAATAACTGAAGTTATTATCAGTACCTGTCACACCATCGACGATCCCAAGCTTCGAGAGTTCCTCTGTGAAACAATGTGAATGCCCAGTAAATTATAGATATACACAAGTTTCTATATATTTCAGCTTTAACATAGACACAATATATATATGATCATGTTTAAAATATCCAAGAAAAAATGCATGGTGAAAGGTTACTGTTAGCTTATGCAAGGTTGACATGTATCAATGCATTTACTGCCCTTGATTACTCAACAGGTGGTACATGCGGGTCGAGGTTACTCCTTGCAAATTCCGGTGATGGATTGAAGGTGTACCATGTTTGATGTTTCATGAGGCATACATGGACAATAAATCTGGTACGCAGGGAGCTAATGTAAATTTGGACGCTGTGGTGCTGATCAATTGAGGGTTTTTTTTACAAAATCACGCCAGGTTTAATTTTAAAAGGCGGCGACAGCTATGTTATCAAATGCATATAATCAGCATGTAGAAAGTAGAAAAGATACACTATATAACCTTGAAATCTTGCCGAGTTTAAATTACAACCTTCAACTACTAAACCATTTATTTTTGACCCCAAACTATGAAACCCATTCACCCCCTCTCTCACTCATCTCTCAAGTGACTTTCTCTTCTCTTAAGCACGACTTTAACTATATTGTCACTCTCCCCAACTCAAGCCTGCCTGTCATCTTTTCAATCTCGCAACCTGCATCATATCCTGGAAGATATTCACTGTTGCCTTGGATAATCTTGTGGCTGCAGGGTTAGAGATTTGGGCTAGCTTGGGTTGGGGAAAGTAAGAAGAGAAATGGCCATGGGAGACAGAAGAGAGATAGGGCCACGGCTGTCGTGGATTAGTTGTGCCAGCTGTCCACCATGTGGAATCTGAATCAGCACAAAGCCACCTGAGATTGGACCAAGGGGCTAAACTGAATGGATTTTCATATTTTGGCGTTACAAATAAATTGCTTACAAGTCTAAGGATGTACCGTGAACTTTGGCAAGAGTTGAAGGTTGTAAAGTGGACTTTATTATAAAAAGTAAAACATGATTTCATTGTTTTGTGAAACACTTGTTTAATGTAAGACCTAATGGTGTAGATTGTCTATAGCTGGGTTTGGGATAAAAATAAATGGCTTAGGAATTGAAGGTTGTAACGTGAACTTCGGCAAGGGTTAAAAGGTTGCAAAGTGGACTTTATTAAAATGTAAAACAAGATTTCATTATTTTGTGTAACACTTGTTTAGTAAGGCCTAAAATAATCATCCAATAAAGTTAAAAATCAAAATATTCAATTTAACGTCAAAGACTCATTTCCCGTCATTTTCAGTCTTTCCGCTTAACTACATCATGTATCTCAAACCCACCATTTGCATCAACATGGCCACTCCCATTTATATATGCCTCTCATCCATTTATGTCACAACATTCACATTGGCACCTTCATGGAGTTTGCTTCAACAAGAAAAATGGCCATGGAATATTGTGAAACCCAAGGGTCAGCTGTAACATCCCACCTCTCACCCAGACCAGCAGTCGTTACTCATAGCAAGATCTAGACTGGCCTCACAGACCAACACTCCACACATTGTCCTCACTCGTGCGCAACGGGGAAGAAGTTCCCGGACGGTCACACATCCCCAAATTGCTCCAAGCCAAGCACACTTAACCAGAGGTTATTGGAGATGCGCTCCCGGAAAAGAAGGTGCACCTTGTTGATATGAGCAGTCTATCATTCCTTCTAAGCTAGGATGTCACATCAGCCAAGTAGCATCTGATGAAACCAAACATCCTCCTAAGTTGGCTGAAGATCTTACCAGATCATGATAAATGGTACTGATCAATCTCAAGTTGTCAAACAAAAATTAAAACCACCACCTTGTAAGGGTTGTTGTTAAGCAAAAGGGAAAGTTCACACTTCTCATATGAGCGTTGCTGTCACTGCATTCTTGCCATAGACATGTATCAAGAAATGCTGAAAATATTCTGGAATGGACAACCTTTATAGATTTGTTGCTCATATGAACGAACAATAAAACAAACTTATCATTGATATGTTCCCTCTCGTTGAGATGAACAGCATCGTTGCATTTCAAAGGGGAGAGTGGAAGTGGGATAACTTGGAACATGAGAGGATCGCACACAAAATTACTACTAGCGATAATGTGTTCTCCACAGGAAACGAGGAAGTGAATGGGCCAAAAATGAAGAAGATTCTATCTGGTTCACAAGGATAAGCAGAGCGATAATGATAATGAATAGGGAAGCCCTTGTAGTACGAAAAAAGCATCCACAAAAAGACAGTTGTGAGATTACTAGAATGGCAGTTAATTATATCAAATACTGAAATTAATAAAACCACACAAACACCTCACAAAATAAACCCTAGAAGGCAATACAATTGTAACCCTCACAGTATTGACGGTTGGGTTTAATAAGCACCTCCCTGTAAAGCAGGACCTCAGTACCCGTCAAGGACCATGACTTGGTAAAAAAATGGCTACTATTTGACACCCATGGTTGTAAACTAGCTGGGCCTGCTATCTTGAATCGTATAACATGTGTAGTTAGCTATAAGCACATCATCTTCAGAAGCAATACTTCAAATAAGTTACTCCCGCCGTTCACTTTTATAAGTCGTTTTAGACAACTGAAAATGAGCTACTTTGCACCCTGTCTGAAATGTCTTCAAGGCCTTATAAAAGTGAACAAAGGGAGTAGCATTCAACAGCACATACCATGGATGAGCTGTAGTCCTGAATGTATTCTCTTTCCACACTCCTTAAATATGCCTTTTGGCCGACTGACCATCACAACCATGAGATCCACCAGCACAAACACCGCAGTCCGTGGGAGCCACTCTCCGTGCACCGGCGGTGGTGCCAACAGTAACTTGTCCCCATAATCTAACACATCTTTCAATGTGTCATACCCGCACAACGCTTGCAGCTGAGCTCTCAACTGCCCCTGCTTATGCGCTAGAGCCACCCTCTCCCTCTCCTTCAACATGGTCTGCGCTAGCGTTCCCTCTACTGCACTGAGTTCAGTACCAAGTTCTTTAATACGGCGTCCCCTCTCCATCTCGCTCTTAACAGCGGTGTCCAGCCTCTCCACATGCTTCGAGGCAGCCTTGTAGTCACAGACCCTGAGCAGGTAGAAAGTCTGCAGCAGCTCCGTGTAGAAGAACAGCCCAACCCAATGCTCCTTCTGCATCCAATAAGCATAAGATGGCATGCAACAAAACACAAAGTTTATATCTCTTCACTGCTACAGACAGCATAAAAATGAAGAGGTGAAGAAAAAAAAAAGCTAACTTGAGTTTACCTGCTCGGCCGTGAGCGCATCCCAGAGCTGGGAGACGCGCGCGACGGCGTCTTCAACGGCGGCGTTGTCCTCCCAGCAGAGTAGGTGGACGTGGAGAGCGGTGGCAGCGAAGAATAGGTCGAGCTGGGGGCTGTCGAGATCGGCAGCGGCGGCAGCCCCGGCAGACAGAGTAGTGAGAGCAGATGCGGCGTCCCCGTCGACTACGAGTGCGGAGGCGAGCTGCGCCTGGAAGTTACTGGTCCAGAGGAGGGCCGGGCCAGAGGGGAGAAGCCCCGAGGCGGAGGCGGATGCGAGGAGGCTGAGGCCGCGGCGGAGCGCGTGCTTCTGCGACGGAACGGCGCCGAGGAGGCCGTAGACGGTGGCGAGAAGGGAGTGCGCGAGCAGCTTGAGGCGCGGCGGCGCGGAGGGGAGCGGGTTGAGGACCAGCAGCGCGCGCTCAAGGTGGGCCTTGGCGTTGGCGAGCCCCTTGGAGCGGGCGAGCAGCAGGCCGGCGAGGCGCATCCGCGCGCGGGCCTCGGCGAGCGGGAGGAGCGAGGCGGCGTGGGGCGGGCTGAGCGCCGACTCCAGGCAGGAGGTGGCGGTGGTGAAGTCGCGGCGGCGCTCGGCCTCCTCCGCCAACGCGAGGAGCCCATCCGCCGCCGACATGGACGGCCCGGCGGACGGCATGACCTAGGGCGCGGTGAGCGGCAACGGCATGGAGATTTGGGGGAATCGGGGTGGGGGGCGTGGGCTGGAAGGAGGTGGGGGAGGAAGGAAGGACTAGGACTGGGTTCGGCCGCCGGTTTCAACGGGCTCGTCTTTGTGTGTTGTGTTCGGTCGCTGTTCACGTCGCCGAACGGGGAAATGGTCCGGCGGGTCCTGCTGCTGCCGCTGGTTTTTTTTTTAAGGAGAACTGTTGCCGCTTTATTTAAAGAACAAAGCTCGGAATTTCATCCGAGATACGGAGTAACATCCAACACGAAGTCTGGGGGAGCCCCAACCACACCTTACAAAGTTCATCACCTACACCTACTTTTGCAAATTTATGAACGGCAACAGTCGCAGACCTTCGAACCCACGACACTCTAGACTCAGAAAAAGAATTTAACAAAGTTTTAATTTCCTGCACCCAAGGACCAGCCGCCGACAGCTCTTTTGGTGAGTGATTCAACATCTTCACCACTCCTTGACAGTCAAGCTCCATATATCTTCTCCGCGTTGATCTCCCTAGCCACGCTTAGAGCTTGCTTACACGATAAGATTTCCGCCGCCTCTGGATCATTGATATGAGGGAAGTGATGGCAAAAGGAGCACATACCTTCAGATATTTGCGAGCCAGCTTCAGCCACTAATCTCACCAAGACTGCTTATCATGTGCACCTGCAGCATTTTTCTATATAACAAAAAGTTTTAGAAGACCATGAGATTAGGCATTTCAACCAATTCACTTAGAAACATAGTGAGTTTGTAGCTAATATAGCTTGATGGATTTGTGCAGCCAGTATCGATGGCACGCCTTGTATACTATGCCTAAGAAAATAACCACAAAACATCTAATTATGCCTTTTTTAGAAAAGGAGGATGACCCCCGGCCTGCATCTGGGAGATGCATGCAACCACTTTATTAACTATTCACAGAGAACTTACAAAGTAATACATCAATATGTCTGAAGCCGTCATCTTGGCAACATCCGTCGCTACTCATATCCATTGATGAAGGGGTGCAGAAAGTATGGGCCGAATACCTAGACCTCTCACCTAAGCAAATATTCATGTGAAAATAGAAGTTTTGAAAACCGTAAAACCATAGGACAGACAAACTGTACCAAGACTAAGCCAATTAACTATTTTTCATCATCATCACTCCAAAAGCCTCGGTTCTTTCCACTTTCCTTAGTTCTTGTGAATTTATGATCAATGCATAATGATCATAATTTGGTGCACATGATAATGACATTCTACCATGATATAATAAAAATAATACCCCAGCATGAAACTAACCTTATCGTGGTCATGTCACTTGTCCACCAGTTGTAGCCTCATTCTTTTCCTATAGCTAAAATCCTGGCCTCCAAGTCCACTACATGCTTGCACCATAGCACCATCCACAAGCTATCGTGCTCCTTCCATTGCGAGGAAACATGAGAAAAATATAAGGAATGAACCAAGGGAAGTTTAGTTCAACATCCTCTTTCTAACCTTTTCGAAAGAAAACATCCTCTTCCTAATGCAATCAGTAGCCTCAAAAGAGGACCAGCCTATAACAGGAATAATAACTATGAATGCATAAAAACAAATCCCCTTTGTCAATAAACAGTTTGTCTGTTTATCATGGTAGTTCTGCAAACTGAAGTAAGCCCCTCTACAACAAAACTAAGCATTAATAGTTCAACTTGCAAACTGAAGTAAGCCCCTCTACAACAAAACTAAGCATTAATAGTTCAACTTGCAAACTGAAGATGTTGACCCATCAACCTAATCCATCACCAGGCTAGAATATTAATTACCAAAAATCATGAACTAAATAGATTTGGTAACATCATAATTTTCTTAACTCTATCTGAACACTTAATATTGTAGGAATAACTCATGTGCTCTTTGTATCGCTAGATATATTCGAAGTAAATAAAACCCAACCCAAAAGAAACGGAAGCTCTTGGCCCATCATTCTGACTTATAAAGCAAGGCTGACATAAACAACCATGATGTTTAGGCTAAGCATTCATAAAAATGGTGTACAATACTCAAGGTCTTGACATTCAGCATAAATAACAGTGTCGATTGAAGGTGTAGGGATGACAAGTACGCAAGGAAGACATCATTTAGGTACAATGATGACAAGCATGAGTAGTCACTATATGTGCTAATCTAGACTGCAAATTTACAACTATTACATGAGAAGATAATAACTGGTAAAAAATGTTAGACCACAAATGAAGGCTTCTGCCATGTTCACATGAACAATCTGGCAACACCAAATCCCAGCAATTTCATTAACTATTCAAAGGTTGCATTCAGATAAGCAACTCAACCAAATAAAATTCCATACCCATTAATTCAGCCTCTGGAAAAAAATGTAAGATCACGGATAAAGTTCCAGAACAATTTTAGCTAAGTAATCATCATAATTATTTTGTGAGCCTAGCCTTAGCCTAACCTAGCTTGAGCTTCTGGTTTTGCAATGCAGTATATAAAAGATAACCAAGATGAGAGATCCCAGTATCTAGAGCCATTATTTACTAAAGTGAAGGTATGACTGAATGATTCAGTTTCAGAGGAATTATTTCTAGAGCCCCAAGATAGTTAGCACAACGGGTTCTATTCTACGCCAGGGAACTATGAATGATCCAGTAATTTATTGTAGTCTTGTTAGTCTCTTAGTATTGTCTAATCCTCGACAAAAAACAAAGTTCCCTTCAAAATCCATCCAAAACAGAATTTACCAACACCCAGATTTCTATGGATGCAAGTGCGGAAACCTTGCAGTCTTGTGCGTCGCGCATTCTTGAATAATTGAAATCGTCAACTGTAGAAAACAAGAGGAATGTGGTAAGCAGACCTGCTTATTAGTGAAGATGTCCATCATCTAGCTTTGCTCTGCAATCTATATGGTTTAGGGATTCTGGAATGGAACTGAAACAAAACGTAGTGAAAATTTACTTGATGGTAAACGGATAACGACATCGTGACTGTACATATTGTTCATAGGATCCAGGCAACAACCTGATTTGGAGTATATCATCAAGAATTGTTCTTTCAGACCAAGGACAAACTATGTAGGGGAATGCTTGTGCAAATTATAAGTTGTCAAGCAGATCAAGATAGAAGGTGCAGTCAAGTGCAGTTGAGATTCAAAGTCGTATTCAGCAATCTGACGGCAGAAGCAAAACAAAGCCGTTTCGTCGTACCTGAGGTTGCCTGCACAATGAAAGAACTGTAATGTATTATCAACTTCTGAACCTAGATAAAAAATTGTTCACGAATCACTTGTTTAGAGTTTGTATCCTTTCCAATGTAGACATTAATAATAATGTTCTACGATCCTGTGCATATAGAATAATATTTTTCTATGATCCTGTGCATATGGTTTAGTAGTCAGCATGTTGGTTTCTAGTCACACTGAACATATAGAAACGCATCACCGTGCTGATTCCTTTGGAGTTGTTGCCTCTGCAGCTTTGTGTGCTCCCTTTCAATGGTTCAACATGGATAGGATTTAAACAAATGTCAGTGTTAAATCTAGCAAAAAACTGAAACAAAATAAGATCATATATGGATGACACGGAGAGCTGTGAGAGACTAAAATAGAGAGGGCTAGCTATAGCTATATAGAGAGGTCAATTAGGGGAACTCATCGAACATTTAGTGGGCATCGGCATGCTGCCATGGTGCTGGAGGGAAGAGGCTACGCAATGCGTCTCACCGTAGAGGAGTTTCGTATCCTCGGTTGTGCGAGGAACGACAGCGACGGCATCTGCGTCACTGACCACGAGGAGGAACGACCGATGGGGCATATGTGCCTAACGCGAGGTCGAGGAACAGAGGCCAAGAATCGAATGCCCCATCAGAGAAATCCATCTTCGTGGTCGAGCCCGCTGTGTCTCAAGCCCACCGCGTCTTGAGGAGGAGATGGACCTTGCCCCTGCTGCCGCCGACGCAGGCCGCGCTGCCGCCGCTGCTCGATGGTGGAGAGGTACCCTGCCGCCGCCAACGCAGGCCGAGCCCGCTGGGTCCCGCGCTGTCGCCGCTGCTTGACGGAGGAGAGACCCCTTTGCTGCCGATGCAGGTCAGGTCCACTGCGTCCCACTGCGCCGCCGCCGCTCGACGGAGGAGATGGACACCGGCACTGCCGACGCAGGCGGGCTGGGTCCCGCGCCGTCGGTGTTTCTTGAGGGATGAGAGCGACCCGGGCTGCGGAGGACGGGGCGCCGGCGGGGCAGCGACGCGGGAGGAGCAGGAGGCGGCGTGCGGCGCGGCGTGGGAGGAGCAGGAGGCGGCGTGCGGCGCGGCGCGATGGGAGGAGGGGGGCGTGCGTGCGTGGGTTGTGGCGGTTTTTTTCTTTCTGGAACGGCGGGCTTAGCGATGCATGGATTAGTGGTGGCTTAAGACTATCCACAGTGGAAGTAATATACTCCCTCCGTTCCTAAATATTTGTCATTTTGGACATTTTAAATGACTACTACATACGAATGTATGTAGACATATTTTAGAGTATAGATTCACTCATTTTGCTCCGTATGTAGTCACTTGTTGAAATGTCTAGAAAGACAAGTATTTAGGAACGGAGGGAGTAGATGATAACATCACATTTATCTAGGCAAAATAGATGATGTGACTTGTAATTAATGAAGAAAAAGAGGAATGTGATAACATAGCTAGTTACTGTAACATCACACATATCAAAGAAAGATGAGTCTATAACCTAATAAATAAAGTGATGCATGACACAACATATATGTTACTACCCACTGTGGAGGTAGTAACATAAAGTAGTAATATATGCATGTTACTACTCTAAGTTACTACCCACTGTGACTACAGGGACGGAGCCAGGGGGACGAGCAGGGGCCTAGCTCCCCCAACGATCAACAATTTTAGTAGAAGCAACTAGTAATTATCAACAAGATTCGATCAATATACGTACTCGGCCCCCCTATACTCGAATCCTGGCTCCGCCACTGTGTGAC